GACTGGGGGGTGAGGGAGTAAGAGGATTGCTCGGGGGCTCTGGAGCCGGGCCCCAGTCTCCTTGGGAGGAGTTGCTGCGGGACCCTGGTGACACGATGCCCCCTGAGAGTGTCGGGCTCTGGCTGCTGAACTAGGGACAGTTCAGCTTCAACTTGAAGGTGCGGGGCTCCGGCCTGCAGGAGGGTGAGGCTCCAGCCCCGGGAGGGGCTCGGGTGGGACTTCTCACCATCTGGACACTCAAGACTGTCTGAGATTCCTGTCTGCCTGCCTGCCTGGAGAAGTTCAAGGAGAGAGTCTCAGCTGGGTGCTCACTGGGTCCTTAACGACTTTGCCCCCCTTGCTAATCTATTTTAATGAGAGGCTGAGCCATTGCCAGTTAAAAGCAACAATATCCAGTGCTAATTGAACTTAATAACAAGCCTTTCTTCCCGTTGTATCTAATTTTTTTTTCTAAATGCTTTTCTTACTCCAGCATTTGTGATAGTGGACAGCTGGTTTTTCCAGTCTTGGTAACAATGTAATGTTTTCTTTTAAGACAAGGGGATTTGATTTAACCCCACGGAGACTTCAAGGAAGGGAACATAAGGATGGTATCTTTGAGAGACTCAGGCCTTCTTTATTGACTTAACAGTCATTTAGGGGGCGTTGCTGGACACCAGGCCCCGTTCGGAATGCTTTATCCATGTGAATTCTGTTAACAAAGCAGCTCTATCAGGTGGGGAAACTGAGGCACAGAGCGGTGCAGTGACATGTCTCAGGCCACACAGCTGGAAAGAGGTGGAGCCAGGATTCGGTCCGGGGCCTGCGGCTCCCACTCTCAGCTGCCCAGTGGAACTGCATCAGTGAGGTGGGCGGGGCTGAGGAGGGGTTCTTGTACCCTCCAGTGTCTGGAAGACCTGGTGGCGCCTCAGCATCCTGCCGTCACTTTAGGGTCTGGCTTGTCACTGAGCCGCACAGAAGATGACGTTAGTGGTCATCTGAGGCCTGGGTGGGGGGCATCAGTCACCGCTCCCTCACTGACCCAGGCCACCTTCTGTGACTGTGGATTTGGGGCTCAGGTTCTCAGGGGCATCCTGGCTCCCATGAGAGTTTGCAGCACTTTCATTGTCTGCACCCCACTTTTCTCATCCGGCGAATGGGGACGTTACTCCAGCCCCGCCCTGGCCAGGCCAGGGCAGGGGCGGGTTTTAGGGACTGTGGATGCTGCCAGCGCCACCAAGGGGATCTGTTCTTGCCCTAGCCCTGCAGCAGAGCCCTCCGCCAGGGGCTCAGATTCTGGGAAATGGCTTGATCTTTACAACACGAAGCGTCCTCTTTCTCTGAGTCTGGGCCCAATTTCCTATGATTCTAAGGAATAAAGACAGTCCTCGGAAGGAAGGTTGGGCAATCTACTTCTGTAAGGAAACACACAGAGGGGTCGCTATGGGTCGGGTCTATCTGGACGGCAGCAGTGAATTAGGGCTTTCAGTTTCTCTGTCCAGGAAGTGTTAGCACACACAGCCTGATGACTGTCCCGTCCCATGCAGGGCTAGGGCGCTGGGGGAGCCTATGAGGGGTCTTCCTGGTGGGGTGGGGAGGGTTACCTGGTTCATTCCATTGTGGACCACTTCTGTGAAGGCTGTGTAAGGGTTTTCCTGGCAGGCAGAAGGGCACACCTGCTGGACAGATGCAGGTGCAAAGACTCTGGAAGGGATTACACTGGGCAAAGGGCTACCTCTTGGGTTTATGTTCTTGGGGCCAGATACTGTAGGGCCCTGAGGACCAGACTATGGAGCCATGGGGAGCCATGGACAGTGTCTGAGCAGCGGAGAGCCGAGGGCTGACATGGGCTCCAGAAATCGGCTCTGGCAGCTGGGGGGGTGGCGCTCAGCCTGGACAGAGGCCATGGGGGCAGCTTGCAGGTAGATGCTGGGGCCCAGTGGGCAGGTCCCTCTGTCTGGATGGGCTGCAGAGCTGTCCACGTGGACTGGGCAGGGAGAGACTCCCTGGAAGACACTGCAGAGGGTCCCGAGTTATAGAAATGGAATCCGACCCAGTGTGGCCTCTCATGTCTGGCTCTCTCACTGAGCAGCGAGTTCTCAGGGTTGGTCCACAGTGTACCATGTGGCCAAGTCGTTCCTCTTTTTGCTGTTGTTGTTAGGTGCTGTAGAGTCGCCTCTGACCCATAGTGACCCCATGCACAGCAAAACGAACCCCTGCCCGGTCCTGGGCCAGCCTCACGATCCTTACTATACCTGAGCCCATCGCTGCAGCCACCGTGTCAATCCATCTTGTTGAGGGCCTTTCCCTCTTCCGTTGACCCTCCACTTTACCAAGCATGACATCCCTTCTTTAGGGCTGAGTAATATTCCACTATAGGGACGGTCCCTTCTTTAGGGCTGAGTAGTACTCCACTCATGGATGGGCCCGTTTTGTCTGTCATCATCGGTGGACATCGGGCTGCTTTCCTGCTCGTTTCACGGTTGCCTCTGAGCAGCTGGAGCTTGCTCTCCGTCTAATGTGGGGAGTCAGGTTCTGTTTTAGCTGTTGCATCGTGAGAGGGTTTTTCTTTTTAAAGAAGGGATAATAGGACAGATGGCTCATGGGGATGGCAGGAGTGTGGCAAGGAGGTGGGTGAGCTCTGGAGAACCCTGAGGAGAGGAGGAGCTGAGATGGGCTTAGAGTGGGGCGGGGGCCTCCTCTGGGACTTGGTGACCCTGCGAGCGTTGATTGAGCACCAGCTGTGTACTAGGTGATGGGGATATGGCAGGGATAAGACAGACACAGCCACTGTCCTTGTGGAGAAACCAGCAACAAACTCAGAAGGACAAGGTGTGGGGTGAGCGCTGGGAGGGAGCTGGGGGTGCTGGTTTGGGAGTCGAGTTTCAACCAGGGAGGTCTAAGGAGGCCTGGGGAAGGCCTGAGGACATGAGGCTGTGGAGTCAGGGAACAAGGCCTAGGAAGGGGGCACAGCCAGGGCAAAGGCCTGGAGGCAGGGCCAGCCTGGGATGTGGGAGGAGCAGCCTCCGGGCCTGTCAGGCCGCTGGTGTGGAGAGAGAGGAGCGAGGAACCACAGGGCCACGGAGGGCGCCATCTCTGCGGCTGTTTGCCGGGGACACCTCTCCGGCCCCTTCACGCCTCACTGCCCTTCCTGCTGCCAGAGCCCAGGGCAGGGTCCAGCTCCTTCTGCCCCACAGGTTAATAGGCACCAAGCTTGCTCCCCCGTTCTGCGGCCTGCTCTGACCTCAGACTACCCCCCTACACCAAGGCCCCCAGGGACCTCATTGCCTGGAATCTTCGGTGTCTGCTCACTTTCCTGGAGACAGTGGTGGGCCTTCGGGCCCCAACCATGCCCCGACTGACTGCGCACTGTGCACGAGGCCCCCTTCCTGGTGGGGGAGGAGACCCAGGAAAGCTTGCTGGAAGGGGAGGCCAAGCTAGAGCTGGAGTTGAACTTGGAGGTGGAGGAGGAACATGGGAAGGTGGAGGGGGTGATGGTTTGAAAGATGGACTGAGAGGCAGAGGCTTATGTGGAGGGTGACAGGGAGTGTGTGAGAGGGACTGGCTGGGGTGAGGAGGTGCTGGACTTTGAGCAAAGTGTGTAAGAGGGCCAGGGACTCCCCAGCGCCCCACAGAGAGATGGGGACGAGCCAGGTGGCACGGGGCTTCCCCTTTCCCATCCCCCGCCTGTGGAGGAAGGGCCCGCCAGGACTCCTGCCCTTCCCCCTCCCCCCTCGTGACTCCGGCCGGCCCCCACCTCGCCAAGGTCAGCCGTTTCCTTTCAATTAGCGCAGGAATGTTCCCAGCGCTGGGCTCTGCGCCTGCCCGGGGCCAGGACCCCTCATTCTGGCCAGATCTGCCCGGGAGTGGACTCTGGAAGGACAAGCGCGACCCCCCTTCCCCTCTCCAGCTCAGCTCGTCCTGCCCGCTGGGTGACCTTGCGCTGGTTGCGTAACCTCTCTGGGCCTTTAAAAAATAACCTCTCCGCCAAACTCTGGCCTCGTGCGCTCGCCTCCCCTTGGGCAGGGGCCTCATTAGCTCATTCGCTGAAGCGGGGATTATCTCACGCGCTCGCGGGCGGACACCCTCGCCCAGTCCTGAGCCGCCCACGTCGCGATTCAAGCCCAGATTTGGCGCTGAGCTTGTAAAAGTAATCCAGCAAGGACAGAACGCCTGCGCGCGCCGACAGTGGGCGTGCAGGCCCGGGGCGCGGCCCTCCACGAGCGCTCGGTCCTGCTGCCCACCGCGCAGCGGCGCTCCGACGGCTGAGCGACCCGAGTGACCTGCCGGGGACACGGAGCCAGTGAGCTGGGTGCCAGCCCGCTCCAGACCCTCTCGGTGGCCACTTAGCCAATGCTCGGTGTCTCGGCCCCTCATGTAAAATGTTTTGTGATCGGACCTCTGCTCCCCGCAGTGAACTCAGACGCCCTGGCAGTAAGCCTGAACGACCCCCTGCCCCCATCGGGCCGCAAGGAGTCCCCCCAGAGCCCAGCTTCGGGGTGCACATCCAGCTGCAGCTGTGCCTCAGTTTCCCCACTGATAAAATGGGAGGCCAGGCCCACGGGCCTCGCAGGACGCTCGGAGGACGGAGTTCAGTAGGTGCTGGTCGCCGACGCCCCTCGCAGGCTCCTCGCCTGTAGAAGACTGTCCGACGCTGGACCCGCCCGGCGGGGGCTGAGAGCTTGGGGAGGGGCTTGTGTCTTATTCGAGTTTTATAGTTGAATTTTGTTTTATTTTTCAGATTTGTTTATGTTGTTGAACATTATCTTGGCTTGGCCTTGGCAACCTCGCGCCAAGGAGTCCAGAACCTTCACGGATCAAGGCTCCGCCCAGGGCGGTCGCCCCTGAAACCCAGGCGGGAAGCCCCTCCCCCCGATGTGGGGGCGGGGACGCCTGCCCCTCCCGGCTCCACCCTCTACAGGGGCCCTTGGGGCCCGGGTGGGGGAGCCCCCCAACCCCAGGCCGGGGCGGGAAATGCTTGGCGCTTGCCCCGCCCCCGCGCGCCGGGCCTCAGCGTTGCCATGGGGATGGCGCGGTTGCCAGGGCGACCGCCTCCCGCGGGCCCCGCCATCCATCACCCGCGGCGGCAGCGGCGCCCAGGGTGGGGAGGCTCCGGCGCCCCCAGGCTTGTGGAGGGGCGCGTTGAGGTGGTGCACAGTGTCCCCCTCAGACTGCCGGGGACGTGGACCACATGGATGGACATTCTCTACCTGGGTTTCGGTGGGAGTGTGGTCCCAGCGCCCCATCTCCACTGCACGCCTGACCTTGTCGTGCCCTCGCGCTGCCCCGCGGGGACAGGCTACTGAGCGAGGACACTGTCGGCCTTGTTGTCTCAGGCCTGGCGAGCCGGCCACACAGCCGTCTCTGTGTCCCTACATCCGGCTGAGTGACCACCTGATGCCAGGGTGGGGGACCCAACACAGGGCAGTGAGTCCCTCTGCCCAGCTTGACCTCTGTGAATGGGCATCCCAGTTGTCCTGTGGGTCCCCTTCAGGGGTGCCTCCTTCCCAGTAGGGTCTGGGGTCACTTCCGAGCCCCTTAAACAAAGGCCTGGGTGTAGCTTGGGAACTGGGCCACCATGGGTTCCAATCACTGCTCTGCCTCTTTCTAGCCACGAAACTGAGCAGAGGCTTATTCTCTCTGGGCCTCTGGGCCCAGCCATAGGAGGAGTACACCATGTGGGGGGTCACAAAGTGCACAGGCCCTGTGGTAGGCATGCCCCCTTGAGGCAGGAGGCCCAGCAAGGGCCCTGGTGGGGGGGTCAGAGAACAAAGGGAGGGCAGAGGGGCGAAGGTGGTGAAGTGGGTGGAGCTGCCTTGTGGACCTCTGGTCCGGATTCTTGAAAGGAGACCCAGCTTCTGCTTGTGGGGTGGAATAGGGGTGTCGGGGGCCAGGGAATGGTAGAGGCCAGGGCTGGGGTGGGAGTGTGGGGCTGGAGGGAGGTGACCAGACTTGGGGGCTCAGGAGCCTGAGGGGGCCTGGGGATAGGCCTATGTGAGCAGCACAGGGCAGCAACCAGGCTGTACCCCCCAGTGGGACAGGGCAGGAAAAAGCCTCCACACCAGGCTGCTGGATGGAACCGCTCCTGAGTTCCATGCAGCCAAACCCAGCCTCGGGGAGGAGGGACAAAGAGGAGCTTTCAAGGGTGTGGCAGGTGCCGCTGGGCCCCAGGGAGGCACTGAGATAGGCAGGTGTGGCCCACCAGGAAGGGAGGGGCAGAGTGCGGTCACCTGGCCCAGGGGAGCGTGGGAGATGAGTGACTTCACAGACCTCAGCATGCCAGGAAACCTGACCCCGAGTGGGGCGAGCGGGCAGGGCCCTGCAGGCCTTGCCCAGGGTCAGTCTCCACGAGGCGAGGCGGGCAGCCAGGGCCCAGGTCAGGGCTGAGCGCTGGGAGGCGGCCCCAGCGTGCAGTGTGACTTTGAGCCAATGTTTGCCCTATCTGGATCTCTGATGCCCTGGGGAACTGCAGGGGTGTGTGTGTGTGTGTGTGTGTGTGTGTTGGGGGGTACATCTTCAGAGCCTTTTGCTGGAGGTGTCTGCTCTCTCATCGTACAGATGGAGAAACTGAGGCAGGGCAGGGACTCTCCTGAGGCCACGGGGGTGGGGGCTTTGGAGCTGTGAACCGCTGGCTGGTTTGTAATTTCAGTCCCTGCGAACATAAGGGGCTGTGGAGGAGGTAGGAGGGAGAGGCTGGGGAGGTCTGGCTCCCACTGATGGGTCCCCCTACCCCCCACCACTTGCCTGCCAGGCCCTGCCCCCAGCCGCCTGGGCCTCCTGCCCGTCAACACTGCACACAGTGGGCAGCTGGCCCAGGGATTACCCGGTACAGAGAATCAGGAGGCCCTGGGGGGCAGGGCCAGGCCCTTGTGACCCCTGCTTGGGCTCAAGCCCCTCCCACTCCTGGACTGGTCACACGGTCTGGAGGCCTGAGGCCAGGGCTGCACTCACTAGGGAGACAGGCCCAAGCACATCAGCCTCATTGATGACAGGTTGGACTGAGGACCTACTGTGTGCTACTTCCTGGGGCGCTGGGGAGAGAGGGGTGGGATTTCCAAATCCCCCTTTGATCAGAAGATCAGAGAGGGGGTGGGGGGCAGGTAGGGGCCTCAGCCAGGAACATGGTGGCCTGGATGGGGTAGCAGAGTGGTGGTGACCACAGGGCTGCGTCTATATCTGCTTTGGGACCAGTGAGGTGGGGTCCTGCGGGGAGTGGGGGCCACAGGGACCCCCAGGCTCTGTCCCGAGCAGGTGAAGGGTGAGGCCGCAGGGGTCCTGGTTCTGTCCTAAGCAGGTGCGCGGGTGCAGGTCTGGCTGATGGCGCACAGTCTGGGGGAGCCGATAGGGACCGGGGTAGGTGTTCTCCAGTTACCCCCGGCGGCCCCTACCCTCAGCCGCAGACCCCTTCACTGGTACTGATCGGGCACCTACCGCAGACTGTCCTGGGGCAAGGTTCCAAGCACCGTGATTGGAGCGAGGGACCTGGGCCTGGGTCGCAGCCTGGCTGCGCTGCCCCGCGTGTCCCAGGCTGACTCCTGGTGCTCTCTGGGCCCGGGGGTTCCTGAGAGAACCCAGTGCAAGCAGGCATGAGAAACAGCCAAGTCCTGGGCAGGTTAGCTTTGCAAGCCCAGAGGTTGGAAGGAGGGTCTGGTGGGTCCTCCGTGGCCCCTCTGAGGGCTGGGGAACAGGCGCTTGGGGGGTGGGAGGCTGGGGAGGGGACTGTCCTGATCGGTTGGTTTCCCAGTGTGGGCCGGAAGGTGGCGGGGCGTCTTCCTTCCCCAGCCAGCGATGCCTGCTGAACTCGCATCTGCATCTTCCGTGGCTCAGCGCCAATGCCCCTTCCTCCCCAGAGCCCTTCCCGGGCCTCCAGTCAGCCTCACACTCTCCATCCCTGCTCCCTCAAGCCCCACCCTGAGCGAGGGGCAGGAGGGTTTCCTGAGTGAATTAATGAAGTAATGAGGGTAGAAAGGGGGTGGTGTCCTCACTTCAGAAAAGGGAAATGGAGGCTCAGAGAGGTGAACTTGCCCAGTCTCTTGACTGGGAAGAGGCAGAGGCGGGTCTGGCTGAACTCAGGGCAGCGGGGCCTCCCCGGCTTGACCTTGTCCCCACTCTGCCCCCCCAGGGTCCTGGCGACTGACACCAGCTTGCAGCAGGAGAGACTCCAGGCCATTGCGGTGAGTTCCCCTACCCCGAGGACAGGGCGGTGTGGCTGGGGTTGAGGCCGGGGGCCTGGCGTCCAGGTCCCCCAGGCCCAGCCTGAGCAGCCTGAGGCATCCAGCCTGCTGTGGTGAATTTGTTCGTTGTTTGGGAAATGGGTTGAGTGTGGGGGCCAGGGCACACGGAGTTTTATATCTTGTCCCCGCAAGATGAAAATAAATACGAAGGCCCCCTTGGTTGGTAGAACAGGGACTCCCAGGTGGGGAAACTGAGGCTGGCAGTAGCAGGGCCTTCCTTGGATCGTGCCTTGGTTGCCTCAGGCCTTGGAAGTGCTCCGTGCGTTCTTCCGACCCTCCCACTCGACTTTGTCCTTATGCTGAGGCTTGGGGGGCAGACAGGCCAAGTGGGTTGGATTTGCAGACCGTGAACTGCGCCGTGGGTAAGGCCCTGGCGGGGGTGGAACCTGGGCCCACGGGTCCTGAACACCCTACCGGCCCCCAGGAGAAGCGGAGGAGGCAGGCGGAGATCGAGAACAAGCGCCGGCAGCTGGAGGACGGCCGGAGGCAGCTGCAGCACCTAAAGGTGGCCGCGCGGCGCCGCGCAACCCGCCTGGGCGGAGGGGGCGGGGCCCGGGGACCGCGTGCCGCTGGCTCTGGGGGCGGGGAAGGAAGCGGGGCCGTGCCCCTGAGCCTGCCCCTGATCCTCACTCACCCCAACCCCACCTCCAACCCTGAACGTCCCCGGCCCCTGAGCCCGCTCCTGCCCCTGCAGTCCAAGGCCTTGCGGGAGCGCTGGTTGCTGGAGGGGACGCCGTCGTCGGCCTCGGCCGGGGACGAGGCCATGAGGAAGCAGATGCAGCAGGACGAGCTGACGGCGCGGCAGCTGGAGGAGTCCGTCTCCAGGTGCGCGGCGGGAGAGCCGCGGCAGGCGGTGGTCCGGGCCTGGGGCGGACTGAGAAGGCCACCTGCTTCTGGTCCGGGAGGGAAGGGCCTTGCCCTCCTGTGCTTTGCTGGGCACACGCAGGGAGCTGGGGACAGAACCTGCTGGCTGCGCTGGGAGAGCGAGGCGGCGGAGACAGAGCCTGGGGGAGGAGGCAGCACAGCTCGGCGCTGGGCTTGGGGTGGGCGGCCGGGGGCCCGTCCTCTCCCCACGCCCCAGTGGCGCAGGTGCGTGAGGGCTGTGGAGTCGGGTGGGTCCCGGAGGATGGGAGTTGGCGGCCTCGGCATCCCTGGGGGCTTGTCGGCGCCAGCCCAGCTGGCGGCTCCGTCATCTCCGTTCTAATGGAGGCCACAGAGGCCAGGCCGAGCCAGCCGCCTGCAGGAAGCTCTGGGAGCGGAGCAGGAGGGGCTGGGACAAAAGGCCTAGGCTTCCGGCCGGCGGGAGGTCTGCCCCAGTGGTGGGGTCAGGGCAGAGGGAAGTGACGGGTAACCGAGACGTCCCCTCGGCCCCGAGTGTCCACTCTGGCCACAGAGGGGGGGGGGCTGCTGACACCCACACAGTGGGCGTGTGTCAGATTTGGAAGGAAGTGGTGTGGGGGGCCGTGGGGCCTCAGCTGGCATTTCCCGTCAAGCTGGGGACAGACAAGAGTTGAGTCTGCGACCCTGTAGTAACGTGTGCCGGGGGACACGGAGGGGTGGGATGTTACAGACAGGGACAGATAGGGAGCTTCCTTAGGCTTTGGGGTGAGTGAACCTTGACGCCTCCCTGGGCCTCAGTTTCCCCGCCTGTGAGACAGGGAGGCGGGAAGGCCTTTGGGCATCTTAGTTCTAGCAAGTGCCAACTGTCAGGGCCAGCGCTCGGACCCCAGCCCTGAGGAGCGGGCCAGTCTGCAGAGAGACGGACAAACACACCTGGCATGTGTGGGTGGGGTGCAAAGTCAGTGGGAGTTACTGGCCATTGGGGGTTGCCCCTGCCTGGGGTACCTCCTACAGGAAGCCCTCCTGGCTAACTACAACTTAAAGCCCTTTCATGAACGGACAGCCCCCTCTGTGTGCAGCCTGCCACCTTGGGCTCATTTTGTTAAAGCCTCAGATCACTTTTCTGTCTGTCTGTCTGCCTGCTCCCAGCCTTGAAGGAGAATGTCTCTGGTGGGTACTGAGGGCTGGGGCAGGCGGCAGCTGGAACTGGGCTTCAGTGTCCCAGCGGTGTTTTCCCGGAATTTATTCGTGTCATTATCTTCTAATACTTAGAAAGTGACACAGGTTTTCCAGTGTCCCTGGAGACATGAAGTTTCCTGTCAAAATAAATGTGTTTTGGTGGAAACAAGGGGGGGTCTGTTTGACAGACTGTGACATCAGCAGCAGCACAGGCGGGGAAGGTGGTCACCAGAGTCAGCCCTGGGTTCGAATCCCGGCACTGCCACTTGCTGGCTGTGGGAACGTTCTGTGAAGGGGCTGAACAGAACATGGCACAGATTTGTGGGGGAAAATTAAACTCAAGGAGGCGTCACTTAGAAGGCGCCCGGATGGCACCGGTCACGCAGTGAGGGCACAGTTGGTGCTGTCCCCCAGGCTGGAGAAGGAGATCGAAGTGCTGGAGAATGGAGATGCGGTCCCCGTCAGCAAGGAGAAGGCGGCGGCCCCCAGCCCGGCCCGCGCCCCAGCCCCCAGTCCGGCCAAGGAGGAGCCCAAGGCCGAGGGCGTGCTCAGCTGGCAGCAGGTGCGAGGTGGCCGGAGAGGGGCTGTCAGGGCAGGGCGCTGGGCGGCCGCAGCAGGCTGTGAGCGGGCGCTGCTCTCGGGAGGCTGGGAGGCTGGGGCAGGGGACGTGGTCCCTGCAGGGGTGGCACCTGCAAGGTGGCGACGGGGGAGGCGGCCCTGCCAGTGGGAGTGGGAGAGGATGGCTGAGGTTCCCTTGTGAATCCGAGAGGAAGGAACAGGGCCACAGTGATCTCTGGGCTCCTGCCCCAGGATCCCTGTGCCCCGTGGGTGGGGAGCCTGGTAGTGGGAGGGGAGCAGGGCCACGGCGCCCCTGACCTCTCGCCTTCTTTCTTGCAGACTCCCGTGGGCACACCCAAAGGTAAGGCGGAAGGAAGGATGGTTGGGGTGCTGAGGGCAGGGCGTGAGCCCCCTCTCGTGGTCAGACGGGGGATGTCAAGGTGGGGTGTCCCCACGTCCAACAGAACAGAGCGCTGCCCGGCCCTGCCTTAGCCTCACGGTCATCGCTGTATTTGATCCAATTGTTGCAGCCACCGTGTCAATTCATCCCGTTGAAGGCCTTCCTCTTTTTCACTGACCCTCCACCTTACCAAGCATGACATCCTTCTCCAGGGAATGGTCCCTTCTGACAGCGTGACCAAAGTAGGTGAGACGAGGTCTGGCCACTCTTGCTTCCAAAGAAATCCCGGCTGCGCTTCCTCCAGGACAGACCTTTTAGTTCTTTTAGCAGCTCACGGTCCCTTCAGCATTCTTCACCAGCTGAAGAAAGCATCAACTCTTCTTCGGTCTTCCTTACTCATTGTCCAGCTCTCACATGCATACGAGGCGATTGAAAATACCATTGTTGGGGTTAGGCTAAGACCTTAAAGTCTTCAGAGAGACATCTTTGCTCGTCAGCACTTTAAAGAGGTCTTCTGCAGCAGGCTTGCCCAGTGCAATACGTCACCTGATTTCTTGACTGCTGCTTCCATGGGTGTTGACAACTTCAGTCTTTTTTGTTTATTGTGACATTGCTTATTGGTCTAGTTGTAAGGATTTTCGTTTTCTTTATGTTGAGGTATAATCTATACTGAAGGCTGTAGCCTTTGATCTCATCAGTAAGTGCTTCAAATCTTCACTTTGAGCAGGCAAAATTGCGTCATCTGCGTAGCTCAGGTTGGTAGAGTCTTCCTCCAATCCTGATGCTGTGTTCTTCCACGATTTATCGATTGATCGCTCTAAGGGGTGTATCGATGTGATGTAAATGTTCACCCCATATGCCTGTCTGTTGTTTGACTGGAAGCCACGGGAGTGAGTTCAACTCCAGACCTGAAGGGGAACTAGGGCCCGTAGCCTCAGGGGCTTCACCAGGCTCTATCAGACCAGCGAACGTGGTCTTTTTTACGATTTTGAGTGTTGTTCCACATTGTTCTCCCACTCTATCCAGGATCTCCTGCGCCGATCCCTTTCCGGGTGGTTGACAGTGGTACCAGGCACCATCTAGTTCGCCTCATGGCCATATAGGCTGAGGAGCGCATGGTCCACTAGTCCCTTGGACTAATTGTTTCCGTGTGTCTTTGGTTTTCCTCATTCTTCTTTTGCTCTGGACGAGGCGAGATCTGTTGTTGCATCTAGATGGCCACTTGCAGGCTTTTAAGACTCCAGTTGCTACTCCCCGAAGTAGGATATGGAACAGTGTTGTATGTAGTATGTTATGCCAATTGAGCTTGATGTCCCCTGAGACCATGGTCCCGAGCCCACAGCTTTGGCCAATTCGTTTTGGTCCAGTGACTCTGTGTATTCCTTCCATCTTTCGATGCTTCCTGCATCGTTCAATATTTTGCCCATAGAATCCTTCAATATTGCAACTCGAGGCTTGAATTTTTCCTTCAGTTCTTTTGGTTTTGAGAATATCCTTCCCTATTGGGTTTTCTAACTCCAGGTCTTTGCACATTTCATTATAATACTTGCTTTGTCTTCTTGAGCTGCTCTTTGAAATCTTCTGTTCAGCTCTTTAACTTTATCATTTCTTCCATTTGTTTTAGCTACTCTCCATTCAAGAGCAAGTTTCAGAGTCTCCCTGACATCCATTTTGGTCTTTTCTTCCTTTCCTGTCTTTTTAGTGATCTTTTTTCTTAATGATGTTCTTGATGTCATCCCACGACTCGTCTGGTTTTTGGTCATTGGTGTTCACCGTATCAAATCTAGGAGCTCTGGTGGCGTAGTGCCTAAAGCACTTGACTGCTAAGCAAAAGGCTGGCAGTTCAAACCCACCAGCCACCCCTCGGAAGGAAGGTTGGGCAGACAACTTCTGTAGTGAGACCGCCTATTCTTCAGGTGGTTTCTAAACTCAGGAGGGATCTACAATGAAGGTCATATTTTGGCTCTGATGGACTTGCTTTAATTTTCTTCAGCGTCAACTGGATCTTGCATATGAGCAGTTGATGGTCTGTTCCAGTCAGCCCTTGGGCTTGCTCTGTCTGATGATACTGGGTTTTCCCATCACCCCTCTCCACAGTCGGAGTTGATTCGATTCCCGTGTGTTGCATCTGGAGAGATCAGAGCCCCATCTCACACCAATGGCAGCACTGGGATCGTGCCCCTTTCCAAACACCTGACACCCGTCGATCAGAGCACCGTACCATTGCACCAGCTCAACACTAGAAGTCCACCTCAGTGATCTTTTACTTAACACATCGTGGCACTACCTGAAAATGACAGTCCACCTTCCTGACTTTCACGGATGACAGGTCCCAGTTTTCAGTGCCTTTGCTTTCCACACCCAGCAGAGCATTCCAGTCACAGTGGCCATTGGTGCATCTTGGTTGCATGTGTGGTCAATTCCAGATTGCAGAAGGTGGTAAAAATCTCCAGTTTCTTTGTCTTTGGTGGTTGGTGCATCAATTTGAGTAGCAGTTGTATTAACTGGTCTTCCTTGCAAGTGTAGGGATATTTTTGATCACTGACAGCACAATGAATGCAAGGCCTTCCTCTTTAATGTGTCATTCATTCCCAGCATAGCAGACCATGTGATTGTCTGCTTCAAAATGGCCAACAACAGTCCATGTCAGCTGGTGGTGCAGTGTTTAAAGCATTCACCTACTAACCAAAAGGTCGGCATTTTGAACCAGCAGACGCTCTGTGAAAGAAAGATGAGGCTGTCGGCTGCCAAAAAGATTGACAGCCTTGGAAAGCCTCTGGGGCAGTTCCACTCTGTCCTCTAGGGTGGCTGCGAGTTGGAATCGACTCGAGGAAAGTGGGTTTGGTTTGGGCTTTGCTTCAGTAAAGATTGGGAGCTCTGGTGGCATAGTGCCTAAGGCATTTGAGTGCTAACCAGAAGGCTGGTGGTCCAAAACCACCAACCACTCCTTGGAAGGAAGGTTGGGCAATCTACTTCTGTAGTGATACTGCCTCGGAAACCCAAGGAGGGGTCGCTATGAGTCAGGGCCCACTGGGGGGAGGCAGTGTGTTTATTTTATTTTTTTTTAGTAAAGATTGACAGCCTTGGGGGGCAGTTCCTCTCTGTCCTCTAGGGGCGCTGTGAGCCAGAATTGGCTCCAGGGCAGTGGGTTTGGTTTGGCCTTTGCTTCCCTAAAGACTGACAGCCTAGGAGACCTCTGGGGCGGTTCTGCGCTGTTCTCTAGGGGCGCTGTGAGTCTGATGGACTCCACGGCAGTGGGCGTGGTTTTTGGTTTTCTGATCCTTGGGCAGGGTGGGGAGTGGGCCTGAACCAGAGAGGAGGGTACCGTGACTGCTGAGTGCCAGCGAGAACGTTGCCTTTTTATTGCTACTGTCCCCACTGAGCGCTGACTTGCAGCCCAGGCCAGTGATCTCGCTGGATTTTCACAGCAGCCCTGGGGTGCAGGGGACCCCGCTCGTCCTAACAGATGTAATGCAGGCCGGGGGGGGCATGTCCCGCTGAAGTCCCGCCTCCTGCCCCCAGTCCTGAGGCTCCGGTCACCCCTGCTCTCTGGCCTCTGCCACCCCCGGCCGCCCACCTCCACTCCTGAGGCGTCTTCAGCAGGGGGCAGTGGAGGTGGAGGCGCAGTTTCTGCGTCTGTGACGGGCAGAGAAGGGCTAGCGGTGCAGAGACGCCGTCAGTGGGGGAAGACGTCAGTCTGAGACTTCAGTGGGGAGATGCGCCCGCCAGCAGCTCGGGGTTCAGGGTGAAGGGCTCACACGCAGAGGTGCTGCAGACCAAGGTCAGGAACAGAAACGCCCAAAGTTCAAACACGCCACCCATTTTCTCCACCAAAACCAGAGTGTACCAGAGCGGCTACAGAGCTTATGTGCAAGTATGTCGCATATTTGCAAAGTTTGCAAAAAAAAAAAAAAAAGCCCACACGTGTTTGGCAAATATACCACCTGATATATTTAATGGCCCCTTTTAGCGTCCATACAATACCCCTTATTAACGTGCTGTGAAGGTATTAAATTATTAGAGACAAATGATACATTCAGATAGGCTTTAGGCACCGCTGTCTGTGCAGTTAAAGGTGCGGTTCGCAGTCGAGCAGGGCCGGAGCTCGGGCCTGGGGCTGAGGCCGAGGCTGGAGGATCTTCGGGCTCTTTGGCCTGAGTAGATTACGTAGGATGCGTGCAATTCCTTGCGTTACTTGCGGAATTAGACATTAATGAGAAAAGGAAAGTTAACGGTCATGGGCAGAGGGCTGAGAAGTGGCCCCAGGGGCTGGGTGCCAGCAGGGTCTGGTGCGCCTGTTGGCGAGAGACCTGAATACACGCGTGTGTCGGGGGTCCATGTGGCTGGAGGTTCTGGGTGTTCGTGTGTGTTTTGAGGGCCTGTGTCTGTGGGGGCTCCACATGCATGTGGCGGGAGGGGGTCTGTGTGTTTGGGCGGCTTTGGAGTGCATGCCTGGGGGCTGCAGGTGGTGGTGGGGTCTGGTGGGGTGTGTGTGGTGTGTGTGTGAGGGCTGTGTGTGTGTGTGAGGGCTGTGTGTGTGTGGTGTGTGAAGGCTCTGTGGTGTGTGTGTGTAAGGTCTCTGGTGTGTGTGTGGTTGCTGTGTGTGTGGTATGTGTGTGTGAGGGCTGTGTGTGTGTGAGGGCTGTGTGTGTGTGGTCTGCTTGAGGTCTGTGTGTGTATGTGGCGTGTGAGGGCTCTGTGGTGTGTGTGTGTAAGGTCTCTGGTGTGTGTGTGGTTGCCGTGTGTGTGGTGTGTGTGTGTGAGGGCTGTGTGTGTATGTGGTGTGTGAGGGCTCTGTGGTGTGTGTGTGTAAGGTCTCTGGTGTGTGGGTGTGGTCGCTGGGTGTGTGGTGTGTGTGTGAGGGCTGTGTGTATGTGGTCTGCTTGAGGTCTGTGTGTGTATGTGGTGTGTGAGGGCTCTGTGTGCTGTGTGTGCGTGTGTGGTCGCTGTGTTGGGTGTGTGTTGTGGGGGGGGGCGTGTCTGGTGAGATCTGGTGTCTGGTGGGAGTGGAGGGTCCACGTGGTCTCTGCTCTGACCCTCCTCCGTCTCCGTCTCCGTCCTGTCTCTGTCTCTCTCCTTTTGTCTCTGACTCCACCACCCACCTGTCCCGCCACCCTCCTCTCTCTGTCTCCCTTTCTGTGTGTCTCCCCCTCTTGTCCCTCTCTCTCTGCCTCCCTCTGTTTTTTTTTCTCTCTCTCTGTCTCTCTCCCTCTCTCTCACCACCCGCCTGTCCCACCAAGCAGAGAAGCGCTCCGTCTCCAACAGCCCGGTGAGGACAGTCAACGGCTCCACTATGATGAAGGCAGGTGAGTCGGTCCCCCGTGTCCAGACACCGTCCCTCCAGAGGCTCAGACCGCGGGCCCGCTGGTGGTGCGGCCCTCGGCAGAGCCTGCGGGCACTGTGGTGATGGGGTGGCGGCTGGTCTGCTGGCACCCCTTCTGCTTCGGCACCCCCGCCAGGCCGGCCCACGCTTCCCTCGGGAAGAAGGGCCCCAGCATGGCAGCTCTAACCCCACACCCCTTGTGGCTTTGTTTCCCTTAACCTTGAGGCTTGCTTAGGGGCCAGGACGGGGTGACGCACGTGCTCAAACCCGCTTTCACACACGCTCATAGGCGCCACCACCCTGTCTCTGGAGTTGACCAAGTAGGTCACAGGGATTTTGGGGTTCTGGAAGGCAGGGGTTATTGCTGAGTGTTCTACAGTCAGAAGCGTGGAGTTCCAGTCTCTACAGGTGTTGAGTGTCCCACCTGCCAGTGGACTGGCATCAGACAGGAGCCCAAAATTGGCAGTAGCAGCCATCATGATTGCTGGGGTTGTTGCTGGGGTGGGTTGAGGAAACAGAATTCCGAGGGGGGGCTGGGTTGAGGGCCAGGTGGTGCCAACACCTGAGGGAGCAGAGAGGGACCAGGTTTTGTCCCAGAGGACGGGAGAAAGCGAGGACTCCCCAGAGCTGGCCCAGCCCTGGCCAGGACGGAGGCCAGTTGACTGTGCAGTGCCCGACCGTATGGGCAGCCCTGCAGGCAGACGTCTGCAGTGGGGACGGTAGGCTGGGTGAGGACACAGGCTTAAACATCATTCATTCAAAACTGCCTATGGAGCGCCTGCTTTGTGCGCTCACAGTGCCACATCGTGGGGTTGCCCGTGCTCCGCGGCGGGGCATAGGTCTCTGTAATTAGGGGAAAGGTGAGGCAGAGAGTGGGGAGCTGTGGGGGGTGGATTTTCATCAGAAGCCTCACTGGGAGGTGCCACCGGAGCACAGATCTGGAAGAGGGGAAGGAGGCGTGCCGGGCCACGGGAGGACAGCCCGGTGCGGACAGCAGGGAGGGCCGATCCAGTACTCATGGGCGCCCTCTAGCGAGCGGCCTGTGGAGGACAGACCGGGGCAGGCCTGGGCCAGGGCCTGGGCAACTACGCTGGAGTGTGTGTGGGGTGATGGGGAGGGGCCGAGAAGGAGCGAGGAGGGGTGTGCTCCGAAGGCAGAGCCCTCGAGGTCTGCAGATGGATGGCCTGTGGGAATGAGGACTGAGCTGCCTCTGACTGAGGTGGGAAGACACGGGAAGGGCGGGTCTTGGGAGCAGATGGGGTGGCGACCTAGACGTGGTAAGCCGAGGCTCCCAGGGGACACCGAGGGGCAACATCGAGGAGGCAGCCGGGCAGGAGTCTGGACTTGACCGCTAGGTGGAGAGGTCTGGGTCTGGGCGGAGGTGTGGAAGCGAGGGAGCATAAGGTCCACCCTGGGGGTGTGGTCAGAGCCTGGCGCCATAGTCAGCCATGGGGGCGTGGTCAGAGGGAGTGGTCATAGTGGGGGTGGGGTGAAGATGGGCCGGCCATCAGCCCTGGAGTCCACTGCTGAGACTCAGTTTCCCCTTGTGGTGATCATGGCAACGGTTTTTATAAACAGGAGTGGGGCAGGTACTGGATATGGAATTACCACCCTCGTGGCCCTCGTTCAAACGAACATTCATTCGTTTCAAGAGCGTAGTTCTTCATGCTGCAATGGGTGATTCCAAGTTATGCTGCTGACCGGAAGGAGGCAGTGATCTGGGCCGGGCAGAGACGGGGCTAGGAGTCCAGGTCTGAGTCCCAGTGTGACCACCGACGAGGCACAGCCTTCCTTGGACTGAGCAATGGGAACGCTTTCCAGACGGGGCTGGGACGGGGCCGGGACCTGAGACCACAGGCTGGCTGCGTGACGGCACTCAGAAGACAGGGACCAGCGGGGTCAGAGTGGACGGCAAGGATGGGGCCTGGAAAACGAGCCATTTAGACGTGTGCCCTCGACACTGGGGCGCCATGGAAGGCATTGAGGGAGGGAGGGCCGTGTCAGGAACAGTGCACAGCGTCCCCTGCACACCTGCGGTCGCTGCTTGGCCTCTGCCCTGCTGGCTCCCCGCCCTGGCTTGAGCACGGTGGGGGGTGCATGGGGCAGGGGCTGGCCACGGCTTGACCCTGTCCTCCCGTGCCAGCCATGTACTCGGTGGAGATCACGGTGGAGAAGGACAGGGTGACAGGGGAGACCAGGGTGCTGTCCAGCACCACGCGGCCCCCCCAGGAGCCGTTCCCTCAGGGCGTCAAGGTCTACGAGGACGAGGCCAAAGGTATGAAGGAGCCCCTGCCCCCAGCTCCGCACACAGCACACCGCACTCGGAACTGGGAGCTCAGATCGGAGGCCTGGGCAGCTGCCAGGAGAAGTATGAGAAGCCAGGACACGTGTGTCACCACCAGGTGGGGGCAGGATGTGTGGGCCCTGGACACCTGTGTCACCACCAGGTGGGGAGAGGGTATGTGGTCCCTGGACACGTGTGTTGTCACCAAGTAAGGGGAAGGTCTGCAGGTCCAGAACATGGATGCTGTCACCAGCCAGGCGAGGTTATGGGAGCTGGGACACATGTCATCACCAGGTGGGGGGGCTGTGGCCCAGGACAGGTGTTGTGACCAGGTGGGGGAAGGGTATGTGGATACAGTACTTGCGTGTTGTCCCCAGGGGAGAGAAGACTGTGGTCCTAGGACGTGTATTGTCACCAGGTGGGAGAGGGCTGTGTGCTGAGACAGGGGTGTCGTTCCTGTGTGTGGAGGGAGGGTGTGCCCAGCTCCCGTCTAGACGCCCACACTGCTGGTCACCCAGGTTCCAGCCTCCAGTTGGAGGAAGCGGATGCTGTTCAAGGCCAAGGTCTCATCACCCAGGGCCTGCTGTTGGGCTGAGCGATTGTTCCGCCATGACCTCGAAGCCTGATGGTGCCTGGAGCTGGGTAGGCTCTGGGGACCAACCTCAGGATTTTGGGGCACCCAGCCAGTGGGGCCATCACTGACAATTAGGATTGTGTTGAAGGCTGTGGGACTAACAGGGTGGGGAGGGGCCTGGAAGGTGACTCACTGATGTGGGGGGGGACACCACACGTGCAAGGGCCCTGGGGCAGGATGGAACTTGCTGGGCTGGAGGAACTGAGGGTACCAGTGGGGCTGACGCTCACTGTATGTGGGGGAGACTCTGAGGCTTCAGCCTGTCCAGGCGGCCTCCTGTTCCTGACAGCCTTGAACAGCCGATGTGCACCCAGATTCTGTTTGAAGGGCTCCCTCTAGTGGCCAGCAGGAGAACAGGCCCTGGGAATGGCCCACCAGGCATTCAGGGAACCACAGAGCAACAGAGAAGCCCCAAACCCCCTTATTTTTCTTGTTGAGATGTGATTCACGTACCATACGGGTCTCCCGTTTAAAGCGTAAGCTCAGCGGGTGAGCGCCCTCACAGAGTTGTCCAGCCAAACGGCCTGCTTCCAGGACAGTGTCATGGCCCGGAGGTGGCCCTGCGTGAGCTCTCATCACGGCTGCTGTCACACCCAGCGTGATGTGTCCAGGGCCCATCCATGTTGTGTCGGGTGTCAGCGTTTGTTCCTCTTTGGTTTTCCGTTCAGGAGCTCCCGTGGGTTGGTTTGTGACCCTGGTCACAGTCGCCACCACGTAACAGCCCTCTTCCCACGCCTGTGTTCCCCGTCTCCCTTTACCTGCTGCTTCCCTTCCTGCCTCGGGGCATTCTCCTCAGGCACGTGCTGCCCTGCTGGTCTCCTATTGGCATTTCTAAGCGCGCGCCCTCCCTGGTGTTAGGTCACCTTACAGGCCTGTCTGTCATGTGGCTGAAAGTTGACCCATGGAGGTGAGTTCAGTTCTAGGCCTGAAGGGTGACTAGGGGCCATAGTCTGTGGGCTTCCACCAGTCTCTAGCAGTCCAATGATCTTGGTCTTTTTTTTTTATGATTTTGAATTTGGGTCCACATTTTTCTCCTACTCTATCCAGGACCCCCTAACGTGATCCCTTTCAGAGTGGTCAGCAGTGGTAGCCGGGCACCGTCTAGTTCTTCTGGTCCCAGGGTCGTGGAGGCTGGGTTCATATGGTCCGTGAGTCCTTTGGACTGTTTCCTTGTGTCTTTGGCTTTCTTCACTCTTCTTTGCTCTGGATGGGGAGAGACCAGTCATTGCAGCTTACGCGGCTGCGTACAGGTGCTCGCTCCTTTTCATGGCTGGGTAATACCCCGGCTGGTGTCCATGCACGCGGCCGCGTGGGCACCCTGCGCCTTCTGGCCGCAGTGCACAGCCCCGCACAGTTCGGCGTGTGGGGTGTTTCATTTCGCCTGGGACTGGAATTGCTGGCTTACAGGGTACCTCCACCTTTGACCTTTCAGGCCACTGCCACACCGTTTTCCACAGTGACTGCACTGTTTAAATGCCCCAACAGCGGGGGACGGTTCCAGTTTCCCTGTTTATTGTTACCATCACTTTTATGGCCACCCTGGGACATGTGAAGAAGCTCTGGTGGCATAGTGCCTAAGGCACTTGACTGCTAACCAGAAGGCTGGAGGTTCAAACCCACCAGCCACTCCTTGGAAGGAAGATGGGGCAATCTACTTCCATAGAGATACTGCCTCGGCAACCCAAGGAGGGGTTGCTATGAGTTGGGTCCGACTGGACGGCACATAACTACAATGACAACAGGACAGGAGGTGCTGCTATGCCATTGTGATTTGGATTTCCCACAGCCTCTGCTCTTAGAAGCTATTCAGGCCTCTGGAGCTCCCGGATGCATAAAGAGGGTCCCAGCCTGGCGCAGCTGGAGCACAGCTTTGGGGCACAGACTGGTTGGAATGCCAGTGGCTGCTTACCCCAGCTGAGAGGCGCCCGGCAGGCCCCGGGCTGCAATGACCACTGCTGACCACCAGAGGGCAGAGGAGGCATATGTGTGCCCCGTCCACCCTCAGTATCAGCTGCTCCGACCACTTCCACCTGGCCAGTGTCCCAGGGTCACCAGCCTGCCCCTGGGGATTCAGGACCCGCCAGACTGGACTACGGTTGCTTAGCAATGGGAAGGTGATCCATTTCCATGGCAACCCAGGGTTTGGATTCTTGTCTTGGGGTCACAACCAGTAAGAGACCCTCTGCTTGATTCTGTGAGACCTGGGCACACCCCACTCAGGTCACTGGGCCTCCAGCCCAAAGTCACTACGAGGCCTTGAAATGGGGACGTGCTTCCCCAGAGTGTTGGAAGCTGACACTGGGGGACACGTTCCTTCTGGCCCTGGGGCCACTCATTCCATCCCTCACTCCTCCCCAGGCAGCGCAGGCAGCTGTGTTTGTAGAGAGTTGGTGGGTTGTGGTCCAGGGCTGGGGTCACACTGCAGCTGGGAGCTCTTCCTGGCACGAGAATGTGGGGCCATTGAGACTGCAGCCCAGCTCAGAAAGTGACAGCTCAGAGATCAGACGAGTGAAGTTGGAAGGATCTCAGAAAACACATTTAACAAGATACATAAAACTCTACCCATTCAAACCAGGAGGACATCGTCAGAAAGTGGCTGTGTCCTAAGTTGCAAAGGAGATTGAAAGGATTCTTAGCAGGTTTTTATTTTGTGGGCTGTGTTCCTTAACCACAGTTCCCCACCTCCAGAAATTTAAAAACGACCTTCTAAACAAATCTTGGGTTAAAGAGGGAATGAAAATGTAAATGACATACTATTTACTCTTGGAAGAGAATGACAATGTAATCCTTAGGGTACAGCCAAAGCAGAACTCAGAGGAAAATGTATAGCCTTTAGTTCTGTCTCAGTTACCTGGTTGCTGCTGTAACAGAAACACCACAAGGGGGTGGCTTTAACAGAAATGTATGTTATTTCTTACACTTCAGGAGACCAGAAGTCTGAATTCAGGGTGCTAGCTCTAGGGGAAGGCCTTCTCTCCCCGTTGACTTTGGGGGAAGGCCCTTGTCTCTTCTGAGCTTCTGCTCCTGGTCAACTTCCATGTACTTGGCATCTCTCTTCTACCATCTTTCCTTGCTAGCTTGTGTTTTAATCTCCTTTATATCTCAAGAGATGAGTCAAGGCACAATGTGTGTTGTGTCTCATTAATATAACAAAGACAACCCATTTCCAATGGGATTATAACCACAGGCATAGAGTTAGGCTTTATAGCATTATTTTGGGGAATCACAATTCAATCCATAACATTGCATTTATTAGTAAACACAAAAGATTGGGTGAAGCATACTGAACTTTAAGTCAAAAGCAATTCATTGAATCAAGGGGAGAACAAACTGGAATTTCCTATGGTTCCTGACCTCCCAGCTCCCCAGAATGGGTTGTACTTGCTCATGTAAGGGAAAGAGATCTAGGCTGAAGCAAGGGCAGGAGTCTAGTTCTGGCCAGCTGTGTGATGCTGGGCAATTGCTTCCTCTTTCTGAACCTCTGTCTTCACCGTTTTACAATGGCAGAGAAAACAGAACTGCTCAGTAGGGTGATTGTGGGGCTGCTAGTCAGCTGAGGAATATGGAAGTGCTTCAGGATGCAGGACAATCAAAATTGTGATTTGTTTATTTTCAGCCTTTCTTGGTTTCTAATAAATTCTTTTACAACTATAAATTTTCCTCTGTTATCGCTTTGGCTGCATCCACAGATCCTAATGCGTGGTTTCAAGGAACAGTTAGTTCGAAATGTGTGATTCCATTTATGACTTCCTCTTTACCTTGAGGGTGATGTGGTCAGTTATGGCTTCTGGAAGAGGTTTTGCTCTTTGCCTGGGCCTCCCTCCTGCCCTGGGGCCAGCTCACTCTGTCTCTCTCCCTGTGCAGTGGTCCATGCCGTTGATGGTGCCACAGAGAACGGGATCCACCCACTGAGCTCCTCCGAGGTGGACGAGCTCATCCACAAGGCAGATGAGGTCACACTGAGCGAGGCAGGGTCCACGGCCGGGGCAGCAGAGACCCGGGGGGCCGTGGAGGAGGCCGTCCGGACCACGCCCTCCCGACGGGAGATCACCGGGGTGCAGGCTCAGCCAGGCGAGGCCACGTCAGGCCCACCGGGGGTCCAGGCAGGCCAGGAGCCTCCAGTCACCATGATATTCATGGGCTACCAGAACGTGGAGGATGAGGCTGAGACCAAGAAGGTGCTGGGGCTTCAGGACACCATCACAGCGGAGCTGGTGGTCATTGAGGATGCAGCTGAGCCCAAGGAGCCCGCACCCCCCAACGGCAGTGCTGCTGAGCCCCCCACCACCACGGGCTCCCAGGAGGAGAACCAGGCAGGACCTGAGGCCACTGCCAGTGACCCCCAGGACCTCGACATGAAGAGGCAGCGCTGTAAATGCTGCTCGGTGATGTGAGCTGGCCCGGCCCCCAGACCCTGGCCCCGCCCTCTGAACCACTGACACCCACCAGCCTGGCCCCTCCCGGTGCCTGCTCACCCCGCACCTGCCACCTCACAGGCCCCGGGACGCACGGTGTTGTCACTTCCTTCTGATTTTTCTTTCGTTGGAAAGAGAGGGACAGGGGTCCCCCACCCTGTCACCACCCCCCTGACACCCATCCTGAATCCCTGTGCCAGGCACCTGCGCCTGGTGGGAGAGAGAAATGGACAAACCTGCTTTGCCTGAAACGAGGACACCCCCACCCATCGTGGCAGCTTCACAGATGCGGCTAATGCCCACAACAGCCCCGGTGGTGCGACCGGTGGCTGCGATGTGGCCTTGGCCTGCCCGCCACCCTCTGGGCTTCCTTCCTGTGCCTTCCCACCATTTCTGACAAGGTCTCCTAGAGGAAGGCCTATGGAGAGGGTCTCTGCCAAGAAGACCCTGGAAGTGGGGCCCTGGGGGCTTCTAATGAAGGCACTGGTGTCTTTTGGGGCAGTGGTGGAGGCTGGGCCCCTCTGGGGAGTCTTGGGTGGACACAGGCTTGAGGTCTTGGAACAGAGGAGGGGCCCCTCCACCCACACCCTCTTTGGGTCTGGCCATGGATGATGGAGCCTGGGGAGGGGGTGGGGAGCCCTGGAGACACGCCCCCAACTCCAGTTGGATCTATAGCCCAGGCTGCCTTCTACATGGGCTGGCCAGGAGTCTTCCAGCTGGCCCCACCCAAGGCAGGGACCACGTGAGCCAATTTTGGTCCTGCACTCCCTTCCCACTGGGCCCTCCTTCCTCCTGGTGCTAATTTGGGGACCCTGGGAGGCCGCCCCTGGCCTCTTCTCCAGTCTGCTTGGTCCAGGGTCCTGGGTCCCCCCCACCTAACCACACCCGAGACCAGGCCCTACCCACCAGCCCTACTGGGCTTGGACCATTTGTGGGTATTGGAGTGGGGTGTACACAGCCTGGCAGGGAGGCTCCCAGAGTAGGAGACCCCTATTTGCCACCCAGCCTGGGGTGAGCCTCCTCCCTGCCCCCCATTCTCACTGGCAGGGGTGAGTGGCTCCCTGCTGAGGGCAGCCAACACTCAGTGTGCACTCATGTCTCCCTGGGTGCAGCCACACTCATTCCCAGAGGCGCATTCATGCACTCTTACAAACACCCTCCTCTCACGTGTTGGCTTTGAACACCAGGCTCTGTCTTACTTCCTTCCCTAGGGGCCTCTAGTCTGGTGCCCAGTGCCCAGGCCACCTCTCGGTTCAGTTGCCACACCCAGTCTTAGCAGGGTGGGGGCAGGGGCCACCTCTGACCCGAGCCTGATTCCATCCTCAGCTTGGCCCCTCTCGGTGGCCGGGAGGAGAGAGGCCCTCTCCTCGGGGTGCCTCTCGGCAGTGGCTGTGGACCCCTCCTCTCCTTCCCTCAAGCCTCCCCAGTCCCTCGAGCTGTGAGCCTCCGCTGAGGTGTCCTTGCTGCCTCCTTTCTGCTTTTGATGTGCGACAAGGCCCCCGATGTTCTTGATTTTCCCAGAGAAGCAAATAAACAGTGTGAACAGCCCGGGTGCCTGCAGTTCTTGGATTTCCCCTGGGTGAGGAGGGTGTGTCCAGGCCTGAGGGTGGGGCTTACCACGGTGGTGGAGCCTTAAAAGGGGTGGCTGAGCCAGGGCCCAGGTGAGCTGGCATCTCCTGCCTGTGGTCCACTCCCCTCGGGCTCACCCCGGGTGCTGTGGCGTGGGAGGCATCTGACTCCATCCCCACCTTCACCGGAGCAGCAGCTGGCCAGGTAAGGCCGGGGGTGGGGTGGAGTGCGGAGGGGAGCGGCTGGGAGCTGCTTTCTGTTTCCCCTGGAGCCCTTGGGCTGTGCGCCTACCCCTGTCCCGGCCTTTGGCTGTGAGGTTTCCCTTTGGTGGGTTCACAGCGGACCGGGGAAGGGAAGGCGGGATCTCCAGGGACCCCCTAAGGTCTGCAGGGAAAGCAGACCCTGGGAAATAAGTTGGGGACAGGGCGGTGGATGTTTAGAGGGGCTGCCTTACGCTGGAGGGAGAGGTCTCCACATTCTTTCAGTGTGACCTTGGAGAATTCACTGCCCCCTCTGGGCCTCAGTTTCCCCATCGGTAAAGTAGGCTCCGTGAGCTGAGTGCAGGCCAGTCTGGAAGCGGGACAACTGGCTCCCCGTGCCCACAGTAGCCGTAGCATGCTCAGTGACCACCTGTCTGCCGTCCTCTGGGGAGGTGAGGGCTGTGGGATGAGTAAGGTGGTCGGGCCCTCTGGTTCAAGCCCCGGCCTCACCACTGCCCATCTGCTGCGGGCAAGACTTTCCCCTTTCCGGGCCTGTTTCTGTATCTGAAAATTGAAGATAAAGATATTTGAAGGGGTGTCGGGAAGAGCTAGCCAGACTGTGCACCTCAGGTTTGACGCAACCAGCATGTGTTAGGAGCTCGAGCTGTTACCATGAGCTGGGCCCTTGTTCCGAATTGTCCTCATATCCCCCACCCAGGACAGCTTCCAGTCTGGGGGCCTGTCTGAGGGAAGAAGAGCTTGTGGTTCTGAAGGGCCCCTGAAGCCAGGTCAGGACACAACCCCAGCCTGTGGACTGCAGAGTGTGGACAGGAAGACAGGCCCCTCATGGTCCCCCTCCCCCAGGCAACCTGACACTTGTCTCGAGCCTCGTGTCTCTGCACGCCACCACCGGCCACCACCGGCCTGGGCCTTACCGGTCCAGCCCCATTTACTGGCACACTGACGCCTAGGGAGTCCGCCAGTAGCCTGGAAAGAAGCAGCTGCGAGTGTCCCTATTTCACAGAGGCTCAGAGAGGGTGAGTGGGACTAGAACCCAGGCCCAGCTGACCCCCACGGAGGTCTGAGAAAGGGGCTGCCTGGGGGCGTGGAGCCAGGTGGAATTGGGAGGCTTGGGCTCAGCCCCCCTAAAATATGCAGTTGGTACCTGGGCCTGGCTGTGTCACCCTGGGCAAGCGAGGTACCCTGTCTGAACCTCGGTTTCCTCGTCTGTAAAATGGGAGGGCTCTTAGGGGTGCAGGCGATGCTGAGAGACCAGGACGGTTTTGGGGAGTTCTGACTTCCTGCCCTGCATGTGGGCGTGGGGCCCCAGGGACAAGGGCAGCGCATGCGCGGCTGGTATTGGGTGTCGTTCTCCGCCCTCCTGCTCTGGACTTTGTTTCCCGGATGGGTGG